CAATTCAGGAACTAATCATAGATAAAGACTGTATATCAGCCAGAAGAGTGAGAAGATTATGAGGCTTCTAAGTTTCTCACACTGTGACCTGTTTAAGAACATGACTGTCCTACCCACTACTGTACTTTATGCTTCCCCCAGACAAAGTCAGACTATTGCCCACGTAACATACACTGAGCAGAGCAGAGGTTAGACATTCTGCTCCTCTCTGTAATGGGATGTGGTTGGTGGAAGTGCACAGATTAGCAGACAAAGCCGTGCCTAATGTTATTAGCTGAATGCTTTCACGGAGCTATGGCATTATGGAACTTCAGCAGAAATGTAAGTCTCACTGACCAAACTGATGGTCTTACTAGGTTAACAGAAAAATAATTACTTTTACTTTAACCTCTACCTAAAAACCATGGAGTTTCAGGCCCTAGGCATTGTAATAATAGTGTCAGCAAATAAAATGTGTGTATGTATACGTGTATGTATATATAAACATATAGAGAAATTCCAACTGCATTTAATTGATGGTGTACTGAATGTTCTGAAGACCACTATTATTCACTGGAATAAAGCATTAGCAAGAATGAATGCTGTGCAACATAATCAGGGGTCTTTGTTGTTTCCAGAAACCTAATGAAGGAACACATGACATCCACTGGTTTCCGACATGACAGGCATATGGCACTCATAAATAAATAAAAAGCATGATGATACAGTTATGCTGATACCAGTGAGTGGTAACATTTGGTAAGCTGGCAAGTTGTCTACACTAACTTACCTTGACAGCAAAACCACAAAATCTCTGAGTAAAACCTATTAATTGTAACTGACAGCTTTTGGGGCTTCCTCCAGTTAAGTCATACTACTAGGTTCCAAAAGGAACATTAGACCACTTTTTAATGTATAGCTTCAGATATACTTTTTAAAAACTATTAAATTTACACAGAAGGTAACTGTCAGCTACAACAGCCTTCAGCAACAATATGGACATACCTGGGAGAGACTCACAGCAACATAAAAGAGTGAAGCAGGACCTAGGTGCCTACATTCTACTTTGATTCAAAACTGAGATCCTGAAAATGCCAAAATAGTTGCCTACAAGACTGACACTTCTCTCAGGTTTTACTGTGGTCAACTGTTTGTGGTACTTACCAGGACATGGGTAGTCAATTTTCAAATCTCTTTATGGGTTTAGGAACCCCAGTTTCATACCTCTCCCAGGAATGCCCTACCTATACACCCCTCTTTCCACATGTTCTCACTGCTTGCCTGAACTGTCACACTTTCACCAGCGGCATCACTACTGCAAAATTTGCAGATATAGGAAAAAATGTCCTTCTTCCACACTTGCATTCCAAAGCCACAACCAGGTCCCTAGCAGAAAGTCATCCCAATGATCCACCCCAAAATACAATTATCTCAAGCAATTGGGATAATGACATTGGTGAAGCCGCCCACCAACCTCCCTGCAGCACAATGGATGCTGTATAGTCCATGCCTTTAAATCTTCAAGCCCCTCAGTCTGACTCCAAACTTAGTCAGACATCTAGCATAGCCAGGTAAGCACCAACCAACTAACAGCTAATTTTAGACTCATCCTCATCTCAAAATTCATCCAGCTCCACATCAGTTTCCGGTGGTACCTACAGGTCCCATAGATGAACCTTGCTTTTCAAGTACTGTACTGACCGCCAACCCTAGCACAAAGACACAAGCCTTAATCGGGCCAGAACATATCTGAAATGAGTGTAATCTGAAAGAACGACCCTTCTGAGGTGTTTGTGGTTACCTCCTTTGGGTTAAGATTAGCCTAAAATTTGGGGTTAACATATGGTTTAGGAGAAAAGTACACAATATATTCCTGAACACTAAAGTGTTCAAATGGTCTTTGACTCATTTCCACAGGATAGAGGTCATCTCTCTTTGGATAAACCTGGAGTTAAAATGATGAATAAGACTGAGAAACAGCTGGAAAATATTTTTATTTCTGAGAGTTGATGAAGTAAGATTTAGACTGGTTCTGGTAGCACTAAATCAGCCCAAATTTGGTCATAAGATATTAAAGATCATCATCCAAGAGTCAGAGGCCTCTGTTTTTCACATGGTATGCCATGTAAAAATAAAGGCTTGTGTTGACAGTGGACTGAATGGACTAGAGTTAGCTGCAGAATGGCAAGGTAACACCTCTCTGGGATTTAGTTTAGGATTCCTGAAGAATCCTAAGGCTGGAAAATTGCACCCTAGACTCTGTCAGGACCACCAAAATAGAAAGAAGTCTGATCTGGCAGGGATGAAAGAGTAAAACTGAGTTTTGAGGGGTAAATCCTCAATTGTAGGGTTTCTCTTCTTGTGATAGTGTTAGCATTAGTGATACGGTTGGGTTAGAGGAAAGAATGGGCTGGAGTTGAACTGTATTTATTCCTGAATTTTACTGGGAATGCCATCTTAAATTGAGGCTGCTTAATACAGTAGTATAATGGTTGTAGCATAGTTTACAGGATATATTTTGATCTGTTAATGACCAGGGTCACTTCTCCTCATGTTAGAAAAAGAGGATGTGTTAGCCTTCCAGAGTAAGATGAAAATTGGGCTGTACATGCTTTGGATCATAGCAGGAACAGTTCTTGCGTCAGTGTTTGACTTAGGGACAGAGCTAAGGTCTGAGAGAGAAATGTATGGAAAATTGTGTGACCGTCTTAATCCTCCAGGGAATATCAAACAAGGAGGACAGTATTAGTGAGATTGTCCAGGATACTCAGAGGACAGCAGCATCATCTCTTTTAACTTTAAACTATGGATAGGCTGAAGATTGGGATTAGGGTGTAAGAGAAATGAGATTACAGAATTGTGGTTTGAGGACCACTCGGTTTTGCAGTGGCTGCAGTATTAATGACAGTTATGGTTCAGTTTAAGATCAGTAAAAGAAGGGTACGGTCTGGTGATATTATATGTGAATCCTGTAGGAGCCACTGAAATAGGATGAGGTTTGGCACACAGAAAAATCTAATGGGCAACAATTTGGGATAAAGATATATTTTCAGTTTTTGTAGGGTCTGTAGGCTTGCAGCATGAAAGTAGTGTTGTAGTGCAAGTCAGGTCTATTGCTTGTGGGGCAACCTTTCTTAGTTTAAGGCTACCTTTGGTTGGAAACAGATTTGTGCCTTAGGATAGAAGGACCAGAAAGGCTGCAAAAATAGTATGCAGATTAGGAACATCTGAGGGAAATAAACTGTGGGGTTTTTTATTAAGAAATACATCCTGGACCTCAAGACGGTATTGTGGCTGTGTTTGTATATGTGACAGAAGGACTCGGGCTGGAGCAAGGGCTGCCTGATGAACCCTATCTAAATGCAGGAAGTTTGCCCTTTGTTGGGACATAGGTGTGAAAAATCAGGTATTGTTTCTGGATCCTGGAAGACCCCCTGTTACTGTTAGACCAAAAGGCTAGTTGGGTTTGTGTCTGTCAAAGTCATCAGTCTCCCAGTTGGGCTGAAAGAGGCAAACTCCTAAATACACCTGCAGTTAGTTCTGGGATAGCCAAGTGTTGCTTTTCTAGCATTAATACAGGAGTTTGTGTAATGACTGCAAAACTAGGGTAATTCACCATTCCTGCAGACGCCACAAGACACGCAGGAGTGATGGGCACAGCAAGGGAAAGGAAAAATGACGGGATGGGCTATGTTTGGATTTAGGTGAAGTTCATCTTTCAGGTGCACAAGGCTGTGAAGTATTCCTAAGCGGTTTGTGTGCTGCAGTGCTCTACTGAGCCCTGACACCTTTAGTTGGGCTAGCATTTAAGTTTGGGTCACTGGTCCAGAGTTTAAGGTTACAATTAGCCCTTGTAGGTGAAGCAGCTGGAGTGTGAGGTTTAACACAATGTTCCAGATCAACACAAGAACCATGCTGGGAGAAATTTTGGGGCAAAGTTAGCAGGCCTTAACTGCGTTCACGCCAAGGTTAAGGGCTTGTCATAGCTTGAGATGAAAAGCAACATTTACGTCTGGATCTTGCTAGGGTTGCTAGGCTTCAACAGGCGATAGTCCTAACATATTAAACCAAATAATTTATTCTGGAGAGTCTGAAGGATCAAGAAGGGTTTAGTGACAGCACAGCCTAGTATTGTACAGACCATTAGAACTAGGACAAGAACTGCTGAAAAAATCAAACAGGCCAAGGTTAGATACAGGGCAAGCAGGGCCTAAGCTTAGGGATAAGTGTTGCCAGCATTGTTAACGTTTGGTCCTGAAGAGCTTTGTGAAAGTCCCTCCTGCAACTGATGCATTGCTCTTTTTTCTAAGGGATAAATGGACTTCACAGGAAAAAGTCTAACAGACAGAGGAAGTAGGGGAAAGAGGAAAAAGAGACACCGACCAGTACTTATCAAGATTTTGAGACCACAAGGGAACTGCCTCGAAGTCTATACACGTGCACATCTGTTTTCCCCAATCTTTAACCTTCCTCCCATCCTTCCTGTCTCCCTGTGAGTCTCCCTTCCCCCCAACGCCCACAGCCCTCTGCCTCTCCATGTCACACAGACGTTCCTTTCTTTTTGTTCCTCTGCAACCTTCCCAGTCCTTGCACAGGGCAGAGGCAGCAAGAGAAGAGAAAAACAAGGGAAGCAGCTTCACCGCTTTTCTTTTTTTTTCATCCCGTGTCCAAATCAATTAGAAGAACAACCCCCACCACAGCGGTAATAATGGAAGCGCTGCGGCACCGTAGCTGTGCTAGCCTGGGGAGAGAGGTAAGTGAGGGGCACAAGGGCTTCACCACCAGCCTTCGCGGAGGGATGGCAGCCTTCGCGGACCGCCAAGTGGTGGCCCCGCAAGACCCTGCGCCCCGGCACTTCCCACCTGCCCAAGCCCGGAGCGAACCTGCCCCGGGGACACGGCGCCTGCCCCCCGGGGGCCACCTCCGAAGCAGCCCCTTTGCCCG